AAGTGGTAGACTTCAGAGGCTTTATGAAGTGCTTAGCCATCACAACGAAATACGATCTCAGTCTCCTAAAATGTGTACATGTTGTGGAATTATTTTGGTCGTGTTAGATTGTTTCCTGACATCAAAAAATTTTGATCTCCAATTTAACACAGATCAAATCCAGTTCGGCATCAAAATGAGATGTCTAAATAGTGGAATTACTACACAGTCTCACAGTGAAAGTATTTCATGATTTATAAAATTGTCGGATTTCATATTCCTTACCAAATATGAAATGTGTAAGGTGATGGTTACATGGATTTTGCTGCTAAATGCTCATGCATGATGTCTATAGTTGGCTTGAAAAATCCGCAAAACTAGCCTAAGTAGGGACCTACAAGTTAGATAGCGGTAAATGGAAAACTAATCTCATTCGCTGGACAGAGACTTTTCAATGAAGTGATAGTAATCATTTGAAAGTAATCTCTGGCTACTGCTGCTGGTAGCCGGTTTTCTAAAACATCCTTTTGTGATGCTGTAAAATCTAAAATAAAACTACGTTACACATCCGCCGTTCGCTTCAAATTTTATCACGCACATAACTCGCTGGGAAGCACGAAAGGCATATCAACGCATATAAAAACTTTTGTATTATCTGAGCCAATCTGGGGTTTCTTCGATACGAAGAAAAAATTCCCAATTGAATAACAAATTGAATCCCACATATCCAAAGGCCCGAATATCGATCAATTGACCCCTCCCCATCCCCCTTCTCCCTCCTCCCCGACCCCATGGACTAGCCGATAAAGAAGCTCACCAAAAATGTAAAACTCTATCTTATTTCCGTTGCTAATGGTAGTTTCAGAAAATAAGCACAGCAATGGAATCATTGAAATTTATGGTATCGAACGATTATTAAGAGTTTAAAAAAAGAGCTCTGTCTTGTGAAGTGTAAAGCACAAAGATTTTCTTTCTTCTGAAGAATATCAAAGGAGCTTCCTTAAAAAGTAAACACACTACTGAGTTATTCGAGAAATGTGCTATCGAATGAGTTTTAGCACTCTAAGGAAGGAGTTTTGTACATAGAAATATAAGCAAGATAAGAAATGCACGTGATCGTGCAAAACATAATTTTCTTCCACATTTTACAGCGTTATAGAAGGGTGTTTTGAAAAAGCCGCTAAGTGCAGCTGTAACCAGAGATTCGAGCTATCAAATGATTGTCAATATTCCGATGAGAATTTCGTGCTCAGCGAGTTAGATCGGTTTTCATTTATCGCTGTCTAACATACAATTACCTCTAGGTGTCAGAACGTTTTGATTTGCTTCACATAAGAAACTCACTCGTTAAAGATGAGATAAATTAGCGCATTGATTCCATTCATGATTACCCAGAGTAAACATGAAATATATTTGCTTATGGCGGAGTCACCGAGAATAGGCATAAGATAAGTCCAATACATGAAGGACAAAAGAAAATACAGGATGATCACAGAAGCCTGAACATCATGAAATTTAAAGAAACAACCAAGATGTTTGGAATACTCTTTTTCTTCCAGCGTTTATTAGGTTGGAAAAAAATTTCCATCGTTTGGATGGGAATGTCGTTTTTTCGCATGAATTGTGCGTGATTTATACATTATTTGAAAGGTCTACTTGTTGCGCATCTGCTGATATATAATTTCTCTATATCTGCTGCAAAATGGAATTGTCCACTTGTTCGTCGAAAACGCGCTTTGTTTCAGCAAGACAACGCAAATCCAAACGCAGCCAAAAAGACCAAAGCAAAGTTTGAGGAATTGGATGGAGCTGAGATTCTACCGCAATCAGCCTATGATCCGAACGTTGCTCCATCTGATTAAGGCCTTTTCAGATCAATGCAACACGTTTTGGAAGGTAGCCGATTTGAACTTTTTGATGAAGTTGAAGAAGCATATCAGGAGTTCTTTGATTCAGTGCCCAATGAATGGTACTTCGATCAGATCCTAAATCTCGCGGACCGATGGCAAAATGTGGTGGGTAATGATGGTCTGTATTTTGAAGAATAGTTGTTGTTGTTGTTTGCTGTCTGCATATACGCATAATTTTTGAGTGTTTTATCAAACGATGGAACTTTCTTTCCAACATAGTATCCTCGCTGGTTCGCTCTAAAATACGTTTTGGAATTTGATTAGAGCTATGATCAAAAACAAAATGAATAAGTGGAAAACGAGGATTTTATGGTAAACAAAAAACCTGTATTGTGATCCGGTGCTCAAGCCTGCTCAATTTTCTCGATGTCTAAAAACTTTTTTGATTTAGAAGCTAGCAATTCTTGGAGGAACTCTATTCAAACCTACAAGGCACCCTAAGTAGCTGAATATAGAGGTATATGTTATTATAGATGAAATGACAATGACCAGCACAAAGTAATTTCCTATAAATCGTGTACATTGATGCAAAACAATCGCATTCATTCAGTAGTAATAGGACTCTCAAGTTAAGTTGCTACCTACCTATATTACTCAGAGCGATAGAGGTAAAATCGTCAGTAGGCAAGGCCTTCCATGAAAAAGAATCGGGAAAGAATATATAATTGCAATTGGGGAGCAACTTCAGAGCAAACGGTACTATAAAGCAAATATAGCAGGAGGCAAACAAAACCTGCAAGGAGAAAAGTTTTCAATTCAAGAGGCCAAGGAGGAATGTTCTGTGAAACAGCAGCTCTACAACTTCTTTACAGTAAAAAAGTATAAATGCGGCTAAAGCTCGCTCACCTGAGTGAGTTCAGTTGAAGTGAGCACAGGAAACCATGTACCTATCACTACCGTTATTAGACGATTGACTGTTAGAAATAATGTCAAAGCCAATGTTATGAACCATAGGCCAGTCAGAACAGCTCCAACCACCTAAATCGAATGGCGAATAGATAATAAGTGATGATAGTAATAATTTCGTCACATTTCGTTATTTTGCTAATTTTTGCAGCTCCTCTTTTATTACAATGTTCCTGCTATTGCTCCCATAATTCTTCTCTGTTCTGGCTACATTCTGTTATTGACCAGGGATTTTTGGAGAGACCTCTTTTCTGGATATAAAGTTACCACTGGACTATCAGTGGTCATTCAGAAGCTTCAATCTCGAGAAATTCGAAAATTCACTTGTTTTTTTAATAGGATTCTCTACAGCGCTCTACCAAAAAAATCAAGATTGTGTATCACACGCGTTTCGCGATAATGCGGATTAATGGACTTAGGTGGCGTTGGAGTAAGATGTCATCCCAAGAAACAGCTAGTGAAATCGCAAAATTAGGTGTTTCATGTGGAAGATCAGTTTACCATAAGCAAACGTTAGGGAAATACAGTCATGCTGGAAGAATCTCGACTACATTATGGGAATCCTATCTTCTACACTCCTAGTTCAATGACACGATCGTCCAGGACACCACGAAGTTCAAAGTAAAGAAACTTTCAAACGACAATCAATATAGTGTTTTACTCTACTTAGATTCATTATGGATGAGCTTGCACTCTAAAATAGAAATTTCGTCATTGTCATGTGAAATTCCTAGGATGCTAGTAACACATTCAAAAATTTTCGCCTAGAGGCGGATCGCACGTGTGTTTAAGGGAAAATGCCAAATTTTTGAAGAGTAACCTTGATTCGACAACACCGTGCAGCACTGTGGTCACTAGAGATCCTTCGAAATTTATATTTGTCATCTTACATAGATATTAGAGCCCTCGAATAACACTGGGTGATGTGACCTTGAGAAGATACTGTAACATAATTACAAACCACTTACATGTCGTCAAAACGTTTCTTCGGACTCCTTTCCTCTAAGCAAGACTTATTCGCATTTAGTTGCGTTTAGTTTCTAGTTTAGTTAGTTTATTGATAATGGTTGCTTTTATTTGCATCTTGAACAATTCTTGCATTTCTTGTACGTAAAGGATGCCTCAGTGGTTTGTGCTGCCATTTAATACGCAAATAAGCCAGCCTACTCAGGCGCTGGGTCGACTTCGAGCTCATCAAGTCTCTCATCCTTCTGCGCTCGGAAAATTGGTACCAGATTTGTCCAGAAAAGCCCACTTCAACTATAAAACGGAAACGATCCACCTTCGCCATCTGATGAATTCAAGGTTCATTGACCTGGTCAGCATTTAGCGCTGCCCGCGACCAAGGCAAAAAACCTTCAAGCAGCAACCGAAGCTGCAGGCATTGCTTCGCAGAAATTAGTGGGCGATGGATAGGAGGAAGCAAATCGAGTGTAGAAACAGGTGGGGCCTATAAACTGTAATATATGTAATATCAGTGGTAATAATGATGGAAAAATGACCCACATTATTATTTTACCTAATAATGTAATGATCTTTGGTAAAAGAAACCTTCCCACTTTTGTTTTGACACTTGAAGTCTTCACTATATCTTTAGTCATGGTTTTAACAATGCCATATAATGCTTATTATCAGACCTTATCGACTGACATCGTATGATTGGCTGCAGTGGCGACCAACACTCCGGAATATGCATGGATTAGTAACTGCAAAACATCGGCGACTCCAATGTGAATCATAATGATATATCCAGAAGCATGACGGAATTCTTTGTGGGCGAAAAAATCTGAAACTACGATTTCTTTCACTAATAGGTCCTTTAAGTGATAATCGTAGTATGCGTTAGCTAAGCAGTCTGAATATTAGGGAATGGTCTATCACTCGAAGTTTATTAATGCGACTTTTGTCCTATAAGTAGACCTCTCTGCTAGCAGATTAATAGACTTACCATGAGTCGCCACTATACCACGTCGAGTAATCAAAATTAATCAGAATTCATTTTTATTTATTGTATTATTGGTTTATTGTAACACCATATCACCATAATACGCGGCCAGATAAAAATGAATTCGGCTTGATTATTGAAACCCAATATCTGTCAGCACAAGTGGGTACAATGTCGATAGTGATTGCATATGCCAGACCGTAGACGGTTGGCTGTTGACGATAACGCATTGTGCGTAGAAAAAGTGCTGTGAAAAACGAGAGTCGGTGGTGCAACGGTTCACCACGCCCTCCCGGAAAGAGTGAGATCTAAGTTCAAATCCCAGCTGACGCAAACGTTCTTGCCCACCACTCTACATTATTGGGTTTGATTAAAATTCGTTTAGTGGAACTAATGAAAAGGGCATATTTCTCAGAAGATAGTGACTCCTCTGCACAACATCTGAGGATTTTATTGGAACTAATGGCGTGTGATTCCTAAAGAGCCCGGCTATCATTCTTACAGATGCACTACTGCTGAGAGCTTCCATTTTCGAAGTGATATCTGTAACGATAAAGCACTAAAAAAGCACACTCACCAACAGAACTGGAATGTATATAATCAAAAACAGCAATGAGATTAGTGTCAAAAAGACACCAAGCAAGAGACGGCTATTCCTCCCCATTAGGATACAGAAAATCTCTGATATCTGAAATTTCACAGTGACGATAATTCTTTGGAACACAAGTCTTCTACATCACAAATACTTGTCGCGTAGTCTTGATATATTTGCACAAGCGAATAGAATCCCTACAATGCAAAACAGCATGACATTCAGGTGAAAAGGTGCGAAATTCAAAAAAAAAAACAAGACATGTAACACCGTATATAGTGTCTTCTTCTTCGATAAGAGCATGTGGTATTCGATTGGCATTGAAAGAGGTACGATGATTTTTCATAAATGAAGCGGGAAAATCACTTTTCCCTTGTTATATAATAATCATTTATGTATCTTACAATGCTGCTGAGCTAAAATTTTTCTCGCATAATTAGAAAAGTTATCAGTGAAGAGCAAACAGATCTTCTGCAAAATTTCACTGCATGGACAGCTCGTTGAATTGGAGATAGACATTCCTTTTCGCCTTCAAGAGAATTCTGAGATGCAGCAAAACTTAGGGCCTAATGTTTTTGCAGCATGGACTCCAACCATTACTACACTGTTCTTTTTTTGTCCTGAATAAAAATAATGGCGATTGGCAGGTATGACGTAAAAGCATTACGTTCTAATCAATTTGAATTCAGTACTTGTATTGCTTTTTCAGCAGTGGTATGATGATATAAATATATTCTAAGAGTATAGTATGGCTAGCAAAAACTTAACATCAGGCAGGAGTTTAACCTGCGTTTCGCCCATATCGACAAGAGTGTTATCTTCACGCCACCAACGCTATCGCTGTGCTATCACTCTATTTCTGTATATCCTATCGCAGCCGTCAGTAGCCAATCTCTAACGAGTTTTGTCACGTTACAGGTGAATCGCGGACTTGACTTGCGTCTGAGGTCAAAACTTTGAGCACCACTCTCTACTCTTCTTCATAACATCAAACCACTGCTAAAAAAGCAGCAGAAATGATGAGTTTAAGTGGAATATTTATTCCAAACAGCTCTCATCTCAACTGAGTTTTTTGCTAATATATGCTCACTTGACTAAGCGTCATCAGTAGCACATGCCTTTCTGTCCAGCCAATCCCTACTTATAAAGGAATCGGCGCCAAAATGTTAGTCACATTGCAAGTAGGGTGTTGATGTAGCCCGACACTGCACTGATTATAAATTACGGCATGGTTAGTGTTAATATCACTTGAAGTTGTAGTGATTAACAATTGATTGCTCATGGCTGGTAATTTATTACCATAAATGACTTCATTAAAACTTAAAATATGCTGTCAGGATGTAGTAAATTTTGAGCGAGGTGTGCTACAAGTCATGAGCAATCGACTGTTAATCACTGCAATGTCGGGTGATTCTATCACTTAAAATCAACATTTTGTTATCACGATAGTATACCTAAGAGAACTGAGTGGTGAGCAACAACACGACCTCTGCCGGGAATCGAACTCGCGTTTCATGCTATCTGGGGGCGTGTGCTCCACTACCACACCACCGAGGCACATTTGCCCGACCACTCATTCTTTAACATGTCTATGTTAGCTTCAGCCACCAACCTTAACAGGTTTGGTCGGGTATGCGATTTCGCTCTATGAACCCAGTTGAGTTGACAGCTATTGTAACGGCTAATACTAGAAATTTCGAGTAATAGTCTTTACAATAGCTGTCAGCTCAACTGGGTTGATATGGCAAAATCGTATACCCAACCAAACCCGTGAAAGGTTAATGGCTTGTAGCTAGCATAGAGATGTTGAAGAATGAGTGGTTCGGCAAATATTCCTCGGTGGTACGTGGTAGAGCATGCGTCACAGGATAGGATGAAACGCGGGTTCGATTCCCAGCCGAGACCGTGTTTTTGCTCACCACTCAATTCCCTTAGGTATACATGCAAAATCATAAAACGAAAGAAGCAGTAAAATTACTAGGAATTCCGAATATCGCGGTAGTCTCGAGTGATCTTATCAAATTACGCGCAGTGTACCATGTTCGGCGTCAATTCTTATATATGTAGGAGATTGATTGAACTGAAAGGCACGTGCTATTGGTGAGGCTGACAAAATAAGCCGAAACGTACGTCTAGCATGAAATGTGTCATAGCAGACCTCGTGAAAAGCTTAAAACATGCTGTCATGATGCATAATGTCAATCTTCGTTTGTGTATTGGCTAGTGCAGTAGAATGTGGAGTTTTGCTTGGCCTTCAGCACAGATAATTACTAAATCGAATTAGAATGCTTGATTATGTATGAGTTTGCCACGTGGGCTACGTTATCCACGATGAACTACCCACGCTTGGGTTGAAACCGTTTGAACAATATTAACAATGTAATTCAAGCAGTCTGACGATGTATAGTTGAGTAAATAGGCACGACCGAAGTTGATTGAATAACTGGAACACTGGAACACTGGAACTACCTATGGTGTATAGTGGGATCAGATTTGTTATACGAAACGACAATGAATGTTTCACATGATAAAGAGCCACACTAAGGGAAAAGCACAAATGGTTACAAGTGCGCATTAGATGGGAACGAAAGTCAGCACAAAGTCACACGTACACACTCTTATGGGAAATAAACTAAAGTCTTGTAGTCAAAGTTTATGTGAAAGTGATGCTGTCGCATCAAAGGAAAGTTTATGGGAAAGCAATCAAAGGTTTGTAGTCAAGTTGATATTGAACTATGTGACAGCTGAGCTAGAGGTCAATAAGTCTAAATGAGAAAGGATAGACTTTTGTCGACCACAAGTAAGTGGTTGATCAAGGAAGTTCCCAACAATATAGCGATCGGAGCTGTTTGTGGGATAGTTACTATAGCATGATAGAAAATTGACCTTACATGTGAACATATTATGCTTCAATGTTAAGCCGATCGCGATGGCGCGTACCTGTGAGGGGGTATGGATGAACGAAGGCATTTTTGTTGGACAGGGCGCTCTCTCAAACTCTATGTGGCCATATGAAAGCTTGAATTTCAGTAAATTCAATGATATGCGAGGTTTTGTAGAACCTTCCTTAATGGATTGTGGCCGCGAAAATGAAATTTTGTCTCACGCTCGATTTGCATTGTTTGCTCGACTATGGTCAGTTGATGGCTTTCGCTAACTTTTGGTAATCATGCGCTAACTCAGATTTTAATGATTCATAAATTCCCATTGGTTTTTTATAAAGGTCTTATAAAGATGTAAGAACAAAAAAGGTGCTACGTTTTACTTAGCAAGTAATAAGGCCGTCGTTTGAACGTCACGACGGGCTTATTGGTACTTGTTAGCAATGTTCATATGTTAAAGACATTTCAATACTACAAAAAGAGAAATATTACAGAAAAAGCTGCTGTAACGATAATTTTGATAAAATCAGTGACCAAGATCAAAAAGTCGCGCATGGTTCATAAGAAAAAACGCATTTTGTAAAAAGGAACTCTTTTCCAGCAGTTACTGAACATTTTTCTTCATTATTCAATCTACATTTTTGTAGTCATATCATAATCTGATTTTGATACTGAACTTGTATTGTTGAAAAACTTCCATAGTATGCTCTACTAACGAAAAAGCAGCGTTTTGCTTTCTGTATGATCGAAACGGTTGTTCATAATTTACACCTGGTAACTTGCAATGACATAAAGAATTTTTTGCTCCTGAGAAGATTTTAGGCTATAAAATGGTAGACTGTTATTGAATGGACTACAAAATGCGTGTTTGTGACGGGAAAACTCCCAGTTATCTTGACAAATGTTTTTACTCTCCAACACGAAGGCCTGCGTTTTTGTGACAACAGCGTATTCTCACCTCTGTTTTCACATCTCTTCCTACGACAATTGTAAGAGTGTAACTCGAAAACACATTTTTCAAAATGTACTTTGACTTTTGGAAGTGATTTGTCTAGAGGAGTTTCGAGTACGTCGGCGGCGCAAACCTTGGTAGAATCCGTATTCAACATTTTGTGGAGTTGACTTATAGAGCCCGATACACGTGTTTCTATCTTGCGATCTCGTCAGTCGGGCAGTTACCCTTTCTCGTCTTTTGCCAATCCTGTGTGGGTGCTCCAGTTCTCACACTAAGAGTTAGCGACGACGAGCGTTTTGCACTCTATGTCCAGTGAGATTATCACCAAACATAGAGCATTGTACAGTCGATTGTTCTTGGCTAGTATATTTATTATATCATATCTTTCGTTTTGTCTTAAGACCACAGCTCAAATTCTAATATGCCAGATAATCATTTTTGAGCCACGCATGTCATGTGGTCTGTTAATATGGGCTGACTTATAGAGACCGATAAACGTGACACAAGACCACATAACATGCGTGGCTCAAAAATGATTATTTCGCATATCGAAACTTGAGCTGTAGTCTTAAGAAAACACCCGAAACAAAGGATATGATTTTGTGGAGTATTCGTTCGGATGGAGTGCATTGCCTTCACCCAAATTTTCGAAGCTTTTCACTAATAATGAAGCTTTTCAACTCAAAATAATCTAAATTGAACACCTTATACAATCAAGATCAACCAATAGCAACTTACCTTTGCTTATACCTCAGCACCGGTCAACAGTTTAGGTCTGCTGCGTTGAATTTGTACTTCTTAGAACAGATAAGTAATATTTCCTGCATTTCCTCCGAACATCAGGATTTAATTCGATAATGAGAGAAGGAGATTTCATACCTGTTCAATTTCTGGAAAACTTGTC